GTTTTTCCAACTCCCTGAGGCATGATGTTAGGTTGTTTATTTGCCTCCTTTCCACCTTTTTCTTATGAGTACTAATTGCTGTGAATTTCCCTCTTATTACTGCTTTTGTGGTGTCTCATCGATTATGGAAACTCGTGTACTCATTATCATTTGTTTCCATAAATCTTTTGATTTCAGACTTAATTTCTTCAGTACTTGAGAAGTCACTCAGAAGTAGGTTGCTTAGTTTCCGTGTGATTGTATATTTTCAAGGATTTTTCCTTGAAAAATTCTGTCATGGTTAGAGAAGATGCTGGGTTTGATTTGTGTCCTATCATATGATCAATCTTTGAAAAGGTTCCATACAGAGGTGAGAAAACGTATATTTTGTGGTCTTAGGGTAGAAAGTTCTATAGATGTCTGTCAAGTCCATTTGACTTAAAGTATTGTTTAGGTCCATTCTGCTTGTTTTTTTGTCTAGAAGATCTGTCTAAAGGAGATAATGGAGTATTGAGACCCCCAACAATTATAGTATTGCAACCTATCTCTCCCTTTAGCTTTAGCAGTCTTTCAAAAATATGGAATGCTTCACGAATTTGCATGTCATCCTTGTGCAGGGGAGCATATTAATCTCCTCTGTATCATTCCAATTTTAGTGTATGTGTTGCCATATCAAGTACCTAATGTTTTCTCTTATCTGTGAGTAACAATCTTTATTATCTAAATGAAAAAGAAAAATAAATCAATGAAAAGGTCCAATATTCGGTTAGCTGGTATTTGACCTGTTTCATTGGGGAGAGTGCCTAAAGCTCTCCTGAGATGTTCCAAGGGTAGCTGATGGGCTATAAAAAGAGAACTAAAGGGTGACATGATAGCATTTGCAAGGCCAGGTGTGGGACAATCTAGAGAAAGGACCAGAAACATAATTTCACTTTATTTGAGACACTGTTCCCCCCATGGGGGGAAAAATTTAAAACAGAGTGACTAAAATTCAGGGTATCTATATAAGAAAATAAATAGGAAATACAGTTTGGCAAAGCATAAAGAAAAGCCAGAAACAAATGCTCAGAAGAGATGGGGAAGATTTCAACAGAACGATGCTATTTGCTTGACAGAAAAATGTGTGGGAGAAAAAAAAACAAATCACCACACCTCTGTCAAGAGGTCTTGATATTTCACCGTGTACTTCTATGACTTTCTCATAAGTATCTTAGTCCTTTATTACCCTTTAGAACATTAAGTTGGACCAAAATAGAGTTGGAAACCTAGAGCCTACCTCCCTAACAGACCTGATTGAGTCTAAGTGACTACTAGTAGTAACATGTTTTCCTGAACAGCTGAAGTTTTCGTAAGTTTTTTTTCTCCCTTGCTTCCCTGGAAAGTGAACAGCTGAAGTTTTTGTAAGTTTTTTTTCCCCCTTGCTGCCCTGGAAAGTGAGCCTGAAAGGCTTCTAGGATCTTCAGTAGATTCTGTGCCTCCAATCTGGGCTGCTGTTGACGCTCATACACAGCCTAAGGAATGAGAAGAGAACTGTTCTCACAGCTTTGGCTGTCTTCTTGCTGTGGGCCATGATGGAAGTGGTATGATGTTTGGAATTTGCTCTTGAATTCATTCACTTTGCTTTATCTTTGAAGATTATTCATCTGTGTTTGCTAAGCCTAGCAGAGAAAATTTTCTGCTCATTTAGCTTGGTTGCATTGAAAAAAAAATTTTTTTGGAGAGGTTTTTTCACTATAGGGCGCGTGCGCTCGCCAGACAGACAGAGAGAGACATAGAGACAGAAAGCGAGAAATCACCCCCCAGGGGGGATGGTCATGCCACAATCCCTTCTCCTCCATTCTCCTCTTGGGATCTTGGGCATGCACGCACACGTGCCTGGTGTGAGTTTTAAGCCACCGGGTCCGGAACGCTTACCACGGTCGACTACGTGGGAGTCCAGCGACATAGCCATTGCTCCAACTGCTGGTTCCCGCATTGAAAATGTTTTTATGTTGCTACCTATGGAGACTCTAAAGTCAGCAGTATCTCTGAATGCATGGAATGATCAGCTTCTTCCAAACCCCTGCTGCTCTTGCTAACACAAAATTCAGGTCCAAAGGCAAAAATACGTTGAGTCAGCCAATAGTAATCCTTCCTCTTCCTCATCCCCACCATGTACACCAAACAGCAGTTTGGGAGAGGAGTTGTAGCCTGGTTTCATGAACCTAGATGGTACCACATTGATGTATAAAGAAACTGATTTTTCTGAGCTGTGTTTGCTTTGGAAAAAATTAGTACTCTTACTAGGAAGAGGTCTGATAAAAAGCTCAGTCCCTCCTACCTCATCAGTTATCATGTACCATGATCTCTAGTGTTCTATTCTTACCTACCTCATTGACCCTCTTTTAGTCTCTTTCTCTTCTTTGCTCTCTCTCTGCTCCTTCCCCCTAACTTTCTATTCCATTATTACTATGTATGTTTCTGTATCCTCTAGGATAATATAGACACCCTTACTTGATATAGAGAGGTTGTGTAGGCCCTTAAGGTGGCCTCTGAATAGACATCTCTACATGTCTGTTCTACTCCTTTGCATTGGAGGACAAGATCAAAGATAACTGCAGGTTCTCATTGCAGGTCTTCCTCCATCTCTGGGGCCACTCCTTCCTTTATTTTGCCTATCTAAGGCCAGAGCAGTGAGAAAACAAATGTCAATAGAGCTCTTTTTGCATTCTACCTGAAATACCTCTCTTCCCGATCTTCTGACTCTAAGAATTTCTAGAATTTAGATCTCATCTTTTTAGCGTAATACAACTTCCCTCTCCATCACTGAACTATTCACATTTGTCAAATAGATTTATCCGTTCTTGCTTCACTCTGAGACTCCAAGCTACTTCCCAGTTCTTACCCCTCACTCCATTAGCCTCTCCTCTACCACACCAATATCCAGAGCTTCTTACCACTAATCCTGGGTCAAAAGCATGGGACCAGCAGTTAGTGTAATGACTATGTCGCTGGACTCCCATGTAGTTGACCGCAGTTTGAGTCCCGGACCCGGTGGCTTAAACTCATGCTGGGCGCGTGTGCAAGTGTGCCCAAGATCCCGAGAAGAGAAGGGAGGAGAAGGGATTGTGGTGTGGCCATCCCCCTTGGGGGGTGATTTCTCACTTTCTGTCTCTCTGTCTGTCTCTGTCTTTCTGGCGAGTCCACGCATCCTATAGCAAAAAAAAAAAAAAAAAAATCCTCTCCAAAAAAAGAAAAATATAAAAGCATGTTTTTCTTTGTTTTGTTTTGTTTTCTTAGAGTAGATGCTCTTGGAAGTTTACTGATGGAAACATTTGTGTCAAATGAAATCTTCATATATCTGAAAGTTCCATTTCATTTCATCCAGACCTAGTCAGTTTGGGAGGCATTAGTTGTCACTGCACACTTGCTATATTCCTACTTCCCTGTCTCTTCCTCCAATCATTCGGGGGCCTGAAATTCTATCAAATAATTGTCTGAAAAAGAAGACTTGAACAACTCAAAAGGTAGACTTACCTCACTCTTTTTATCTTCTCTGAAATAGCCTTATAACTATTACATCAGAGAGGGATTTAGTGATATATTATGGTACTTAGTATCTGAGTAGAAGGATCCTAAGAGCATACTCAGAATCACACACACACACACACACACATATGGAGATTGAGTCAAAGTAAGTGGCTACTAACAGTAATATGTTTTCTTGAACAACTGAGGTTTTCATAAGGTATATATAGATATATACTTTATTAGTATATTAAGCTGGCATTATGAACATGCCCGTTTAAGAAGTCTTTCTTTCAGAATCTGCCCTATTTTTATTCCTAATTCTGATCCACACACCATTGCTATGCCCCAACACAAGTAATCATTTCAAACTAACTCTTCTCAGTAACTCATCATGACCCATTGACAGCTGGCCAGACACCATGCCCCTAAAGGGTATAGGACTGGGGATCTGGGAAGGGCGGTCTGTTTAGGTGACAACCAGTGACAATTTTTCTTTAAACAGCAGAGCTGTAATAACATAACTTAATGCTGAATCAAAGGAAACAGAGTGAAACTCCAAACTAATTTGATTTGCAACTTGGAATAAAAGCAACATGTCTTGATTTAAATGTCAGGCCCACTGCTGAGTGATGATTTAATAACTTTTATGAGGGATTCTGTCACAGCAAATTCAACACTGGAATAGAGTGACTCACAGATAGGGTGTTAGAAATGATACAGAAGAGCACAAAAAGGAGCAGGCTTATTGCAGGGCTCATCCAGAAGCTTTGCATGAAGCTAATTTGCAGTTAGAAGCACTAATCTCCCCCTATCCTGCTACCTAGTCTTTCTCTTCAGAGACATCCATGCATGGATGTGCAGAAAATCTCTAAGTGTGATCTCAGTTCACTGCAGTATTTTCTGAGGACTCAGGCTCTTGAACAATTCTAGCATGGAGGCTGAGTCAGTGCATTCAACCTGAAGACAAGGCAGCAGTAAACCTGACTATTTCTTAAGGAACTTCAAAAATCATCTGGCCTAGTGCCCTGTCTTTGGGCAGGTACTTTATTATATTCCCCCATTCTAAAGGTGAGAGAGCTGGGGTTCAATGTTTTTCCAAAGACTCTACTCTCTTGATTCCCAGAGAATTAGTGTTTCCTCATCAATATCTTATGAGGTCTTTCTCCTTGTCCTTTCCCAGCTTTCCAGGGCTAACATATCCAAATGCTCAAAGGCTGACCATGCCTCAGTCCCAGTCTGCTTCTCAAGTCAAGAGGACCATGCCTGGCCATTCTTAAGGAGGAAATTCCATTCTTTTAGATTAATCCTTTGGTCACCAAGATTCATTTTGAAGGAAATCCTTTGGTCACCAAGATTCATTTTGAAGGAAATTTGAAGTGTAAATATCTCGTCTTTGCCTAAGTGAGAGTTGCTCAGTCTTGACAACTTGACATTTTTAAAAAATCAGATTATTCTTTATTGTGGAGGCTGTTTTATGTATCCTTGCATGTGTAGCAGTATCCCAAGCCTCTGGTTAGTTATCTCTGCCTATAGTCTCCACTTACTTCCAATCTTTCAGATAGAGCTTTTGTATCCCAAATTGTATCTCTAAGCTAGTGATTTTCAAAGGGAAGCAAGCCCTCCCTCCCTCCCACAGGGACATTTGAAAATTTCTAGCAATATTTTTGGTTTTCACCAAATAAATTTCCATAGCATGAAGGCTGAGAAACCTTGCTCTATCATATCATCCCCTGGTCAGAAATTTTTCAGTGTTCCCCTCTACTTATGGGAAAATAATTTCACAGGCTTTCTTGATTCAGCTTATTATTTGGGAATAATAGGTTCTTTCTTAAATAACACTGAATGATTGGTGTTTCTGAAACAACATCATCTACTTTTCCATGTATATAACTTTGATCACATCAACTACTCCCTCTGCTTGGAATTCTTACTTCCCTCTACCAAATCCATATTAAAATATTATCTGTTTTCAGGGAACCAGCAGTTAGCGTAATGGCTATGTTGCTGGACTCCCACATAGTCAACCGTGGTTCGTGTCTCGGACCCGGTGGCTTAAAACTCAGGCCGGGCGTGTGTGCGTGCATGCCCAAGATCCTGAGAGGAGAATGGAGGAGAAGGGATTGTGGCGTGACCATCCCCCCTGGGGGGTGATTTCTCGCTTTCTGTCTCT